TTTGGCATATGGATTGTAGTTGACATGGTGCTAACATGTCACGGGTAATATCTGCGAAAAGGTAAACTAACAATAATTTTGATGGACTATTTTCTCAATGCCATTCAGCTGAAGATAATATCCACAACATTAGCCACCAGATTGTTGCAACTAATTTTTGTCATGGCATTTCCTTCCTTAATTTAATTACCGTTTGTGAGATTAATCCAGCTTGCCGTATTGCGGCAGATGATTACTTTCACTTCGCATGGCAAGTAGAACAAATTGCTAAATCATACCATTGCGTAAGTTACCGTTACGAAGGCAATTTAATTTTTACTACTTATCACCATTCTTTAATTTTCGTTAATTTAATTTAAATTTAATTTAAAACTAAATTTATTTAAATTTAAAGTAAACGTAAATTAATTTAAATTAATTTAAATTTAATTTAATTTAACTTTAATTTAATTTCGTTAAATTTTAACGTACGTGCTTCTTGGGATTTTGGACATTGCAATATGAATAGCAATGTGCGGCTCCGATACCCTTATCTCCAGAACCATTAGGTAGCAACGAATGATATTTTGAAGCTAAATACAAGATGTAACTTACAGTGTTCACTTTTGACGCTGTTTCCTAGTTTCAAGACATTTATTTGGAAATTTACTTAAAATCAATGAAATTTCTTTGTTGGATAAGGGACTATAATAACTTCTGAATCGATTAAAGGTGTATAAGTAACTATATGTGAATATGTTAACAGAACTTTTATACGGAATAGCAATTTGCGTGCCTTACATGCTGGCAGGTTTTTCTAAAATGTCTTTAACATGACGGGTTGAAATGTGCTTATGAAAGGCACTGATAATCCAAGTAGCGATGTGTGCTTTCCAGCGCATCGGTATTTACTGCTCTTTAGGTACTCCACGTATTTGCTTAGATTTCGACAGGCTCTGATGCATCATTGCCGTTTAGGAGATGCCTGTGAACTTTTAGAGGGTTTAGGGGAACAATAAGCCAAATTGGTATTTTAATTTATGTAGATAGTCAAGCAAAAAGTATGTTGGACTTATCTAGCGATACATAATCACAAATTCGAGGTAATTGTTACTTGGACACATTCCTGTATATATCTTCTAACTTACGATTGCATCTATGCGTACTTTAACACACTGAGATTTTATCGAACTGCTTCCGAAGAACAGCATCTATTGGCTACACAGTTTATCTATATACCGTTACATTATAAAGCGTACAGGTTTATGGATTACCAAAAGAGAATGTTTTGTGGCACAGAGGTATTAAGTACACCTAATGCATCCTACAAGTGATTTCCCCACTTCACCTTTTTACCTTTAAATGCATGGTTAGTACCGATATAGCTTGATTATTGTATACGGCAGCGTACACGTATAGACAGAGTGTGACGCAAATTGCGTTGGTAGGGAAGTTTCGATGTGAAAAATTATTTCGACAAGTCCTCTCAGTTAAACTGAAAAATCAGTCGTTTCTCGTCTAAAGTAGACATTATTAAACCGACTGGCTTCATACCCTAAGGCCCTGGTATGAAAAATTTATTCCAGATATCATAAAAGATCCGACTTCTTTCGATTAAACTGGTATGCAGGGAGTTCATACATTGACAAGACTTGCTCGCAGCTTGAACTTAGCAGGGCTATAGTTTGTGTCTTTACCTTTTTGAGCATTGCAGAAGACAACTAGAATAAGTGCGATTTAAAATCCATTGCACGTCACCAAAAACAGAATAATATATAACCAATGGCTAACATTTATGCTGGAAATGCAACTCATTGACTTAGACTACTCCATCAACTTTTGTTTTGAAAAGCATTAAAACGAATACAGCAAGTTTTTATCGAATTTCACATTTCTAGTGACATAATATGTTGATATTTCCTTGGCTACCGTAAACAAATGAGCAGTAAGTTTTCAGCATTTACGGTGGAGAGCTGGTGCTGACATACAGCGAAATACTTCAAATTAAGTCCACACACACTATATACAAACGAAACTCATCCAAGCGAAATCGCCGACAGGGTGTTTTACTTCCATCTGAGCATAGCAAGGGGCATTAAATGTAATTAGCACACATTTCATCACTAGGTAGCTTGCTGTCATCAGACGCAATGATGGTGACATCTCGTTCGGTAAAGAAAGGAGAGCAACCTTACTGTTATGCTCAGCAAGCACATTTAAATAGTATTATCCAATCCATAAAAAACTGCAGTCATGGCGCCAGTAGCCATTAAATAGCGCAAGTCGTTGACATATAAATTGTCCTCGCTGCGTATGAAGATATGGCTGCTGCGAATTGGCACACATTAAGCAAAGCTCACGATATCTCATTTCGGCAATTAGTCTAATTGTGCGCGTTATACCTAGCGCAGGTGTTATGAGTGCAAAACAGACCTCTAGCTTTTGCGCCATTTGTCTACACACAGAAAAGGAAACATTATTTAAAAAGCTTCTGATGCAAGCAATAACAAATCAGTCTGAAGTGTACTTTTGTTGTTCTTAATAATCATCTGCGTTATGCATACGTTATGCATAACAGAGAATAAGATGCTTCTGTGTCTGGTTAAGCTAGTTGTAGTCCCCAATGTGTCTTCCGAGAGGTGAATGGTTTCATCTGTGAGACTGTAAATCTAAATTAATTAATGAATAAGAGCACAAAAGTGCATTCCTTTTTATGTTGGAAAAACACCAAATCTAAGCTTAAATAATTCGTAAGAGAAACCACAATGTGCGATTGATTGCAGGTTATATTTTTGCAGCTGGTGTTATTTGTATTAAAACCATGAAAACAGTAATTTATTTCTTGGCACAGATTGAGAGATTTGAGCACCAATTTTATTTTGTTCCTTCGGCGTACTCCAAATCAAGAATCATGGCAATTCTGTTAGAGGAATGTGTCCGATTTCTTCACGAACCCAAAATTACAGTTGAACCAATATACTCTTGAAAACTTAAACGAATTTCTTTTATCAACATGTTTGCCATCGTACATTATTTTGAGAATAAGCAAAACAATATCACTTGGATACGATTATGCTCTGGACTTTAACTTTGCCAACAAAAATAGATGAGCTCACAACTAATTTATTCCCCGAAATCAATAATCTACTTATCCAAATTTTACTTATGTGGTTGAACGATATGTCTGTTAACATTCACAAAAATGTGAATTCACATATATATGACATTTGATTTCCTGTATTCTAGTTACGGCACAGGCCATGCTTATCATACGCCAGTTTTAAAAACATAAAACCTGCTAAAGTCTACGCATTATTATTGCTTATCATATAGGTGATGAAACCAAGTAGGATTGAGTATGAATATTATCAGCTTATTTGACCCAGTTTGTACCCATTTAGACTAATGCATTTACAAAGTTTGATCAGGGAAGTAATGCAACCCACATGGACTTTGCTGCAGTCCAATCGCCTGTATTGATATCGGCTTCTGTACCCGTGTAATTTTGATTAAAACTTCGGATCAGACGTTTATTTAAAAACATACATATGATAATGTGTTCGTTTTAAATATCAGCTTTTCCCAATTTTCACTTGATGCGATGGTCAAGGTATACCAGATTATCACTTTTGCATCTTTGTCAGCAAAAATAGTTTGCATTTTTGGACGTACTACTGAAAAGAAATGCTAACTGTCCACATGAAGTTCATCCGCCAAAACGCCAGTTGAACAGGATTATACAAATATCTTATTACCTTCATGCCAAACCAAAACACAAGCTATCACTTCAAAACACCGTCCCAAAAGTTCACAGAATATGAGTTACGGGGATCAAAAATGCACATTCAATTTAACTACAATAAATTACTGGCAAACATCTTAATTGCAACCTATGCCTAGTTAAGTGGAGCTTATTGAACAATGAACAATGAATTTATACGGGTTAAGAAGCGTTGCTATACAAGTCCCGTTGGATAGTTGTAGGGGATATAAACATAACAATAATGATAGTAAAATAGTTAATACTTTAAATATGAAAATAAGGACTTATCGTTTGCTTCGCTGCAGTCCTGCGATCCTCTTAGATTCACAGCACCCACAGTTAACAACAAATAATTCCATCCCATACTCCAGGTGTAGGATGGAGACGTAGTGTCAAGTAACAAAGTGTAAGTGGATGAGTGCGTCGTTCAACCGTCTTTTAAATACTGTTGGTGTCGATGCAGAGATGACCGATTCTGGGAGAGCATTTAACGGGTGACAGACACGGATGGAAAAGAAATTTCTGCGGCACTCCAGACGACCGCATTGTTCTGCGAGTTTTAATGAGTGGCCCCTCAGGTTTGTATTGCTGCTGAGTTGCAGTAAAGAGCGGCACACATGATGTGGGTCTCGCAGAATCAAGTATGCCATAATCAGGTCTCCTCGTAGTCTGCGATAGCTTCCACAGAACAATCCCAGTCGTCGTTATTGGAAGATAACAAGCTAAACACCTGCGCTCTATAAATTTTTACCCGTCTCTAGTGGCTATTCGGAACACAAGCACTCTAAAGGAAAATATTTTACATGAAGCTAGATCAATGCGACAGTTACGCAAATTATGTCGTCATTGCGTAAGAAAGAGGTTAACGGATCATCTTTTAAAGCCTATATGAAGAATCTCTACAGGGACTCGTTGAACTTACAGCTTTGGAATAATGAGGAGCTGGGAGCTATGCTGACTTATCGTCTAATAAAATCGATAACGATTATGTAGTTCTTCTAATAGTTTAAAAAAGAAACGTTCGTGTTAGAGTTTATACTACATATTCAGAAAGACAAGATCTAGATTTCCCAAGTGGAAATCTATCTGGGAAATAGTTGAAACTGTCCTCTACTGTGATATGGGTTTACGCCCATGCAGAGGACAGAGGACTTATAGAGCAAACTTTGCTGGTAGCCGCAAATCCACAAGTTATTTTGAAGATGTTAGGACTAGAATTTTGATTGCATTTCACTAGAGGAAATTACAATGAGCTACATCAAGCCAACACATTTTTCGTAGCTGCGAAAATAGCCACATTGGCAGAAAATATACATATCTGCTCAAGAGCATCGGAAAGCATTTTCAGAAATTGGCTGATGTCTAGAAGGAAGAATAAACATAGGAACAGTTGTAAAGCTTAAAATTATAGACTAGTGGCTTGTCAAGCTAAGACCCATTATGGTTGGTCAGGCTGAAAGTGACTTTACGTTTAAGATCACGTGTTGCGAATTCAACGTCAAAATAATGAAGCTGAATGTGACCTTGAACATTGGTGGCAATCGCCCACAATGTGTGCCAATTATAGGATGTCCCGGGAGGATGTGAAATCCTTGAAAAATATATGTTCCGCTTTTGTAAAACAAAAGCAATTGCTTGTCAGTAAAAGGGACATAAATGTCATTTTCTACTAAACATGCCACATGATAGGCTGATGTCGCATACATCATGCATCTTCATCTCTATTGAGCTACACCTACTCACACTTAAATGTGATCTTCTTAATTTGGAGAAAATGCATTCAAGTCTATTTGATTTGCTCAATTCTGTTCTTGTTCCGCATATACCGTTTCAATTTTGTGTGTTCTTTTGTTCACAAATTATGCTTTGTTTGGTTGATAGCCGCTGTGTGGCTGCGTTTGCTATCATTGTTGACAAAGTGCCTACCTTTCTAACACCCTCCACCTCGATTACTGACTCCATAATACAGCTAATCTCTGATTGGTTACGAGTACACGCTCGGCGTGGCTGTGCTAAGCTCAAAACGGGGCTCTATCCAGTGTCTAGCGGTCTACGGTCTAGCAATCCCCATGTGTAGATCAAGTACGCATGCTTCCCTTATGAGATATACATGAATGATGCTGTCGGGCAATATAAAGGAGTGTATTTCGGCTCCGTGGGTCAAGCCTGGTTCCCATCCGCCTGCTGCTCATCTTGTTATTCGAGTTCACGCTGGATATGAGGTGTGCGGATGGAGCTGTGTATAGCATTGCTGGCTACCCGTGGTCCCTCTATAGGCACATGCGTCCTGTGGATGCACTATGGAGGTCTGAGTGACAGGCAAATCTGGAACCGGATGCTACTAAACATTTCTAATTGGGACAAACTGCGTAGTTTAGATAATGATGATCTCGCTGCACACAGCTAACAATATGTTACAGGCCTCATCAAATTTTACCATAATATTAGTAATTAATCAACCACACATGCGTCTGCGGTGAACTTTATTCCAAACATTTAGGTAACTTGTAGCCCTTTGATATTGCTTTTGTTTGCCATGGTTACCACTTGGTTAATGTAAACGGCATGATTCGAGGCAAATGGCCATATCAGGCACGATTCCGTCAAGATTATGCGAAACGCGAATCCACAATAAACGTTATTCATAAGATGAACGTCCTGTTACCGAAAAATAATAAAATGTTAAGAAGCCTGTTGGGGCGCCTATGGTTAAGAAGCTTTCATGGTGAGCCGGATATGCAGCTGATTCCAATTAATTAAGGTGCAGTGCTATAAGCTGCGTTTGGTTGCTTCTGAGTTATTCTCGACAATTTTAGTGGTGCATAATTTAACTAGCAAATAATGAATGCAGATTGATAAAGCGTCGAAACTTGCCACTATGCTTTGGGATGATTCGAAATATTGGACGTCACCCGTAGTCCACTGTTGTCAAGTGCGAACGGAATAATCACCGTCTTATGATTAAATTGTTTACTAATGGTAAGGTTTGTTCGAAATCGAAGTCGAGCGTTAGTGTTTCACCCATACTTGCTAATTTATTCGTCTGTGCCGTTGAATGAATATACCCTCGCAAGCCAGAGACTTAATGGGAAACGAGTAAGTATTATTTGCCAAATGTCGAAAGGAAACAACAATAGTTACATGCTGAAATTTTGAAGAAGATTCAACAATTGTACACGAAATTGCTCATAAATTATGAAGTATTTTCCAGGTGTATTTTTAGGAAGAAACGTAACGTTGTATAAAGTTTAAAAAACGATATTGTTTAAAAATATTGGCTGATTAAAAGCAGTTCTATGCATCTTGTTGGCACCGGAGTTTGAACAGTATCTGCCATTTGTAGCTAATGTGCCTGAAAGCTGCTGCTGCAGTCACAACAATTTGTATGGTTAAAATAACCACCGTACTAAAATCAAGATGAAGGGCGAATTCAAAACTTTCGTCTAGTTGTCATTAAAAAAATAAAGGAAGAAAAATCGTTAGCTCTTGGTTTCACAAGTACACTGGAGTCTCTAGCTTCTCCCAGACTGTATTGCTTAATGCATCAGAGTACTGTTAACATTTGGCGATTCTCTGCATTTTCGAAATCCGTATAAACGCAAAATTTGACTGTAAACCTTTGAATCTTTTGTACGTCATTGTAAATTAAACGTACGTGGAGCACAAAAGTTATATTATGTACACGCACTTTTATCGAGTTGTGAGTTGCATATTTTATGAAAACCTTGCATTGCATAGCAAATTCCTCCAAAATGTGCTCTGGCTTGTAATGTGGGCTGCAGTTTCTGATATTCTAGGGACATTTCATCGTGGTTGCGAACATCGGTTTTACACCGATGCATCTCCTCACCAAAGCTGAATATTTGTTTAGTCCAGCTTACTCTCAGCTGCTCCATGTGCTCCCAACTCTATCCAGCGCATTAACACTTGATTATGTCTGCATTCCTTCACAACCATAGTGATATCTGACTTCCATACAATTTGTGTTGATTACGACAAGTGCACCTATTCTGCTACCATCTCTCCATAGCGAAGTGAAATTCCTACAAAATACTCTGAGCGCTTTGCAAGTCATCCGTGTGGCCGTCGTATGTTTGTGCTTCCCCTAAACTTCTTAACACTTCCGATTTGTGTGCTTGGATCGCTAACCATTGAGCACTGTGAATAGGAACATAGCGATAAGAGAGACAGGCTGCTAAATGCATGCATTTTTTTTAATCACTCCAATACCAATAACAAAAAGCGACATGCTACTATATAAATCACCATACGTGTATCCAAACAAACACATGTATATATAAATATGTGTGTGTTTGTTTGTTCACACGTATGGTGATTTATATAGTAGCATGTCGCTTTAGTTACTGGTCTTGGAGTGATGAGAAAAAATGCATGCATTTAGCAGCCTGTCTCTCTTATCGCTTTGTTCCTATTCACAGTGCCCAATGGTTGGCGACCCAATCACAGAAATCGGAAGGGGTTAGAAGTTTAGGGGAAGCACAAACATACAACGGTAACATGGATGACTTGCAAAGCGCTCGGAGTATATATATATACATATATATATATATATATATATATATATATATATATATATATATCCTACTCTCACGCTTTCGGGGCATGCGTATGAAGTGGTCGATAAATTTGGGAGTTTTCTTGGGAGATGTCTAAGGATTGGCGGTTTGACAGATTTGATCTCCCTGCGTGTCTCCTAGGCTAGGTTCGCTTTGGCTAACATTCGTCACCTTTGGCTTTGTCTTGATCTCAGCCTCGTTCTCAAGGGACTAGTCTATAATGCCATGATACGAGCGATTCCGCTGTACGGCTGAGACTTGGCCCGTTCGCAAAAGCGATGTTCAGCGGCTATCTGCTTTCGAGCACCACTGCCTGCAAATCATTGCTGGTGTTCAATGGCAGCATCACATCAGTAACGAGGAAATCCGTCGGCGAGTCTTCAGATCTAACGAACTACGCCGAACGATTGATACCATCATCTCACTGCAGAGACTTTACTGGCTTGGTCATCTGCTTCGCAGACCTACCCAGCGGCTACCACCACGAGCCTTATTTGCGGGCACTGACCTGGCTTGGAAGTGACGAAAAGGAGGGCATGCAAACTTGGATCCAATGTTTTAAGGTGCAAACGTTGAAGCGGGCTGTTACCGGGAGTTCCCGACTCCCAGGTTGGATACAAAAAGACCCCGAGCACACCTGGTTGCAAACGCTTGAGGATATGGCCAAAGACCGTACGCAATGGCTCATTTGCCATGAGACACTTCCACCCCGACAGTTATTTCCCCTCTCACACTATCCTTTCTGCGCCTTATGTGTTGTGGCACTCAGTCAAATATATTGTAATTGATACAGTGTTGAATATATATATATATGTATATCTATATGTATAATGGTTATTGTTAATTGTACAGAGGGGATAACAAGAAACACTACATAATTTACCAATTTCACACCTTACTTTGTATTCATTTGTCCTCTTGCTGCATACCTTGAATAGTGTTTTTCAAGGCATATTTCCTTCTTGCGTCGTGCTGTTGCAATCATTGTATTAAATGCACTGGGGTTTTCAATCACACACTCGTCGCATAGCGACTGTCCGTGACGCAAAAGCTCAAACTGAAGGCCTGAGTTAAAAATTTGGGTGTATTGGGACCAACTGGGACCAGTACAAGGAAATAGTTAACGTGGATGTTGTTTAAAACTGACTATTACTTTAACTGTTAACACTGCAATGAACGTGCACCGTTGATATGTGGATTGCACGGAAATCGGCGTGGAAGACAGAATGCAGCTTCGGTGTTCTATTTGCAAACACACAGTATTGTTTAACTGGGTGAAGCACATTTAGCATCGAAGGCATCACAATTGCCTTCGTAGCTCATCCCATTTAATTGCTAAAATCTTACGTATAAATTGATTTGGGCGGAATTGATGGACACATATGTGTCGCAAGCTGCTGTGTTAGACGTATCTGCGAACTGGTGGCGTGGTCGAATCATATTAGGTGTCGCAAACAAGACGCACAAAGAATAACGAGAATATACTCATGAATAACAATCGTGCCAAAACAAACAATTAAAGATTTGGCTTGCGAAATGTAAGTCAACAATAAACATCCAGCATATAGGATTCCACTAACAGTCATGGATACATTTATATATATGCAATAGATGAATTGATGAATATATAGGTTGCGAAAAGCGGCCTAATAAAAAACTACAAAGCCAAGTCATAGAATGCAGGCACAGTAAATATAAAGGAAGAGAAAAGCATCTAAGATAATAAGGCATTATAAGAAAATATATAAACAATAATTATAAATAGAAAATGGGAATAATTATAACAACGAACTAATGATTTATGTGTGAGAAGTATGAAAGCAGTAACCAAGGAAATATAAAAATAAGATGTAAAACAAAGATAATTAAAGTATGTGAGAAAAATAATAAGAAAACTAGTTCAACAACCGTGACCAAATGATTTCTGGTAGGAAAGATAAGTAGGATAACAAAAAAGCAAACAGGAAAAAAGGAAGCCGAATGCCAAAATACAAACCGCACATAATTAGACGGGTGTTTTTTGCAAATGTTGATACTCTCTCATTAAATTTCTGTGCAGCAGTAGTTGCGCTTTGCGGAGAGGTACTTTCTTTTGTGGTTGCTGTGTTCACAGGCGCTGCGTCAATCTCTGACTGTTGGACGAGTTTGGCTGAGAAAAGGCACAATCAGTGGATGCTTGCATGAGATCAGGGATATTATTATACAGCCTTAATATGAAATGCTTCCCTTAATGAGGATGCTAACATATGAAATCAGAAACACCATGATGAGCATTTGACTACATATTTGCCGCGAAATTGTGCGTTAATTTAAGAATTCTTTCTTGTTAACGACTTTTATGTCTTTAGTAGCATATAGATGGCAGGTGACTTTCTTAGAAGTGAAATCTATGACACTACTTTAATTACGCATTTTAGATTGACAAGTTACCTCTAAAGGTGAAGTTTGCTTTTTTAGGTAGACAAAGTATTTAGGCTTCATCTGTATGCTTATTTCTGAAAACCACAGCATGCCCGGTAAATTGCGAACATATCGTATCCCATAATGACTGCGTTGACGTTTGTGGAGTAACTCATGCACCACTTTTGGGGTATATAGCTTGTTGCATGTTGTGTTGATAATTACCTACCAGTTTCAAATTTATCTCATCTAAAATGTTGCGCAACCAGCCTTGTGAAATGGAACCAGTAGTTGGTGTTACGCTTGCACAATGAACGATGATGTATCCCGTCATAAAACCAACTGCTTTGCACGTTCTCTAGGATGGTTCAGGTGAGTACAATTATGTTCAAACATATGTGAATCACGTACCAAGTGTCTACAGAGATAAATCTTCTGATAAAAAACATAACTTAGTAGCATAAACATCTAGTGTAAGTAGGCAGATATACACTGGGTGTAGTGCTTGTTGATGTAAAGCGTGAGATAAGTAAAATATAGACACTAACGTTTGCTCTGCCTGTTTGAGTCCATATGAGACAAACCTAGTAGAATTGCATAACTCACTTAATCCACAATGATATATTTTAGGTAACGAGTTGCTAGGAGCTTGGAAGCACAGCCGATGGTTTTATGAAAAGGCCCACAGTGGAGTAGAATATAACTGGGTTTGGGAGTGAGTTCTAGTGTTGGCAAACCCGGAAGAAGACTAATTCTGTCCAAACGTGAGACGGCTGTTTTTCTCCCTCCGTTACGACCAGTTACCTCCGAGCTCCGTAAATGGCAACATACCTTGTTGGGATCACTCAAGTTTTGGTAAGTTAATATGAGATCTCCTGGCATCCTTCGGTAGCGTACGCTAAAAATGCCCAACAACTTCGGTCTCCGCTGTTAAGCACTGTTGCATAGGCCATTTACATTCATTGTTGCCCTTCGTAGTGGTGCCCCTGACGCCAATAGCTCACGCTACTAATAAGGTTGCCAGGCTTGAATGTCGTATTCAACTTGCCGGCGCACGCACGAATTGTGCATCTAGAAAGATTGTAGGTTCAAATCTCTCGAGAGCTCTACGTAGCAGGTCAACCTGCAGGTTCGACTTTTGCGCACCTACCTCAACCTGTTTCGAACACTTCAAGTCACCCTGCATAGGCAAAATTAAAGCATGTTCCTGTGAGCTGGTCTGCATATGTGTGCTCCAGGTAAATAGGTGTAGTCATGTGTATGTTGTAATTGCACAACGTCACATCTGTCTATTTTGAATAGTAAGATGTCCTGAACGGACCAGTTCGAAATGTTGTTCAGGTAGCACTGCAGATGATGGTAATCATCCGGCCATAGGACCACTTGCCATCTTATGATATCATTTGCGCAAAATAATAAATCGGAAGTAATTGATAACGCTAGATCTTTTATGAATACCTAGAATTTACGAGGCACTGAGACTGAGCCTTTTTGTACACTACTCTCTTCATCAATTGCATGGGACAAAGAATCCCAAACTCTTACATTCAACCGGCGTTCGTGTAGAAACTCGCACATCTAACACTGGATTTGGTCGTCCGTGCCGTAGTACCAATATCTGCGAAGGAGAATTTGGTAGTCTAAACAATCAAACTTTCTTGAGAACTCCATTTGGATGACACCGACTCCTGCACCATCATAAATGGCTTTAGTCCAGTTGTCATAAGCAATTTGTAAGTTAGTAATACATGAACCTTTTGACGGAAGCCATATTGGTGTTTAGCAAATAAGTCGTGACTTTCCAGCTATTGCATCAACGCATCTGCGATGATTGATCCCATAACCTTGCATAGTACGGTAATTAGAGTTAAAGGACGGTACTTGGCAAGGTAGTGCGTCTACCACTCTTATGATTATAAGTGAACAACCCACGTTTCCTTATTGATGGACTATGGTTCTCCTCTAGACACCGCTGATAGAAAACGGTCAGTGGTTCTGCTAGACAACCAGCTTCCGTCTGCAGAGCCTTTCACCGAATGTTATCGACTGCAGGAGAGTTCTGGATACACAGGGATAACAACTACTTCAACACAGCTTCCGCTTTGCAAATGACATTGTATAAACCCGACGGTAAAGTAATAGATAGAAGAAGATTGCACTTGTTGCCTGCTAGAATATTTGAGAGCAATGACGCTTTAGGGGATGGGCTATTTCCATTGCTGGCCGCGTGCACCCATCAGCCGTGAGAAGTGCTGGAATTCCGCGCTCCAACTAAGGAAGGTTAGCTAGGTGCTTGGGAGTTTTCGGTTTGTGAAAAATCGCTTCATCACCTCTTTCTGATGCATAGCATTTTCCTTGCAAATCAATTTTACACAGGTTACATATACATTATAGTTGTCGGCGTTCGGGCAGAGTTTGTGAGCTCGCCATGCTAAATCCCTGAAGAAAATACATGTACGTGTGCTGCTGCAAAAATTGAGCATTATTGCATTTGCGTTGGAAGTACTTCTGTTGCAAGGCGCGTGCACCAGTGTGCTAAACTTCATGGTGAACTCTTCCTAGACAACCTGTGGGACACATACGGTTAAGGAAGTCCCTCAAAAAGCGTTGATTGTAAGTTGTAATGTGTGAAAATAAATAGCTTACCAGTTAGGCTACATCGCATCGCAGTGTGTTCCTTAGCGGAATGTACACTCCCACCTTACTCTGTACCGTTTTGTGTCGTAGATGCTATTGTGTCGATCTCTCTGCAGGACTGTGCAAGCAAAGAAGCTACAGTGTTTTCAAATTCCATCAAAATGGCTGACCACTCTGGGCTGTGCGCTTGCGGTCTTTGCCGGATCTCAATTAGTTACCTAAGACGAAACTGTGGCCAGTTATGCAATAGAACTTGCATCATACCAACAGGTGTAACACCACTTTCATACATTTTGGACCACAGCGCTTGTAGTTAATTGATGACATAACTATTACCAACGTATTGACAGTAACATTGTTCATAGCGCGTACTTCGCGGAAGTAGCATCCGTGTTCCGGACATTTATTTGCGCCACATGTTCAGGAGAATCCCGTAGCTCGGGAAAACTTTGAGCAACAATAGCTATCTAGCAAACGCCATTAGGAAGACCGAATTAGTTACCTCCCTTTTTGGGTAACCTTCCCAAGGAAGCTCGATTCATATGCGCAACCCGCTAGGTGAGTTGCGAAGATAAACTGCTGCGCGCATGCCAGCCTCTGTCTCATCTGCTGAGTTCAATGTCACTCGAAGAGTTCGGGGTTCCCTAGGGTTCACTGTGGTAGGTTCTCTCGGATCTCCTTAGTGGGCAACACCCGAAAACCAACCGCATGGCAGATGAAAATTCATTGGTTGCCATCGTCTAGAAAATTGCCTTTTATCGTGCCAGCTTTGGATTCAGGAAATTTAGTGATCACAATTTAACGCACCGTGCTTTTGGTTACGAATGTCGGTTTTACAGTTGTCGCTAGCAATTTGGACATTTAGAAGGCGCCACTGGAGTTGACGGTGATATCTGTGTCGTATAACTTGTGCTTAGCACAGAATATAGAAATACGTTTGTCGTTTCCGATGTATTTATCGATGAGACCAGTGAGTATGTAACCCAGTTATGTGCTTCACCAGTTTGCCTCCGGCCCTGAGTTCTCGGTGTTATGGGTAAGTCAATAGGAGTAGCGCTCATGAATGTGACAACATCAGACATGTCGAATGTGACTTACCGGATTAAGGGGTTAGGATGCAACAGCGCCAGTGACGCAAGTGGTGCGGGACGGAAGCAAGACTGACTTTTCATATTGTCATAGGATGTGGCTCAGAGACGGTTGCTGAGGCACATTACCAATTTATTCCATTACAATAGCGGCGCACTGAGACACGGCATCTGCTCAATCGCTTAACTTGATTTTTCACATTCGTTCATAAGCACAACCACACAACGGGCAATCGGAATGGCGCTTCAAAACTGACAATACCGTGGCCCATCAGTCTGTAACAGTCTGGAGATTCACCCGGTTTGCCTGAGTGTGTGGTGTTAAATAATGACTAAAATTATCATCTAATTATACACTGAGAGGCTCTGCTGTATGAAGGACAATTTAGAGTCCTCCAACGGATCGACACGCATATGTCAGCGATTGTCACGGAAGGCGTGGTTCAGTATCCCTTATCCGCTTACAAGTTGCCCATATGAATAGCGACAATGTCTTTACAAACACGCCTGTTCCATCAACAACAACGCGTAATACTAGCAGTACAACGACATCCAATGAAATTCCCTAGCATCGTCCAGTTCACCGAGATCGACCATGTCATGCCGACAGGTACATTGCCGTCGTCGTTTTGTCCAGAGAGTGCGTTTTTGAGCCTGAATCACTCTTGCCATTTTTAATAATGAGAAAAAATAGAGAAAATTGTTTTTAAACCAACAAATATAGTAAAGCGATTGGAAAACCCAAAAATTCTTGCAGTGCTATTTTAGTTTAGCACTTGTTATCACCATGCACTATTGTCGCTACCGTTTTTCATTTGCTTTCCATGTCAGCTCGGTCGCAATTTCAGGTTGGAGCCGGAAGCCACAAGTTGTGCACCGAACATTTCCCATCGAAATGTTACTCCTCAGGAACCATATTGCAAACACCTTTTCATTCGTTTCGACGCCGTATGGGAGGACAAGGGAGAGAACCCGCTAAGACTCAACGTCATTGTTTTCATCCAGCAGCTGCAGCAGATTTCACCATCTGGTCCCGCAGAAGGCTGGTCCGCAGCGGAACGTCTTCGGGTGTTCCTTCTGCGCGATGACTATGTAGCAATCGAGAGATTTCCCTGGATTATCTGCGTATTTTGTGTTATACACTAGTTAAAATTCCCATCTTATTATACACTCAGTGGATTCTTGTGGAATGCTGATATATATCTTTCCTTTGTTCGTCTGACCCAACACAACGATATTCAAACACCGTACTGCGGTTGAATACAACACGCCGCGCTTGCGCGCGGTCTCTCAGTCCTTCCCTGGCTAGCCAGAGCAGTCCGGTGTCGCTTTTAACCAGTACACGGGAATGGTGTACCATAATGCACTACCGTGCCGTCGCCCACGCGCCTTAGATTTAATCACTGGGAACAGAACTTGCCGGTAGAATATCGCGAATAATTTGAGTCTTTTAGCGTTAGTTAGCCAGTCTCGCTACAAGTCAGGATTTTGAGCCTCTTTAATACTGACTTTCGCCTCCACATCTGGCGTGGAATGCGTAGCCTCTGTTTGAGCAGACAAGCCTAGACCTGACCAGACTGTTGCATTGGCAGTTGCCAATAATTGGAAGTATTTCATTAGTAGGCTGAATCCAAACGCTATCAGTCAAGTTGTTGACGGTCTGCGCGCGACTGATTACACTCGTGAGGGCGGAAGCGCTACCAGTAACATCCGTACAATGAGGTCAAGGTCACGACGCGAACCTAGGACGCTGTCTAGACCTATGATATCTTGTCGGCATTTGCGAGTGTACTTGTGCTGGAGAAACACAGTGTCTTTGATGGGTATAAGTGGCATAGTCTATTGATCGCAGGGCGAACATACGAAAAGGCTGCCTGAGGTAAACAAAGTTTACCCATTGGATAAATAATTGTTGGTCTGAAAAGAGTAAGGGATTACGAGAACGTGCTTGAGCAGATCTATAGAGTAAGAACAACCAAGGGGCTCAACTAGTGAAACTGCATAATGTTGAATGCATACAAATTTGAAACACGGAACGGGACATAACAAGACAAAAAAAACATACGAGGAAAATAGGCGCAATGGAAAATGTGGTAGCTGGAGGTTGAGAGCAAAACATTTGACATGAGATTTTCATATAAATATAATCTATGTCCATTCAGCAATTTCGCTTTTCAGGTCGATAAATCTCCGAACAAAAGTAAGTTTCCTTTATTACATGTAGATCCCATTTGGTCTTTAGGCGTAATGGTGAAATATAGTATTTCCTTCCAAATTGTGAACGGTTTCTATTTTATTCCTTTTGCGTTTATTTTGAAATCGACCATCGCCCCAAATTTGACAAAAATTGTGCACGCGATTTTTCTCGAGAATGATCTGTCAGTCGATATTTATCTCCTTGAGACTTGTAGGTCACAAAAACATCCTGTACAAAGCAAACAGTGCCATTTGTTGCAGGAGGAAAAGCATTCCCTGTGCTGTTTTATATAACAAAGCAACCAACACTCCAGACGCAAAAGCAGATTGGGGCAGAATGATCAGCGATAATTTAAACTGGTACCTGTGATTAACCTTGAAAATCCCTCAATAAATTCCTGTGCAGACATTGGGCTTTGATGTGAGGTGCTTTCATTTGTGGTTGAAGTGTTCACATTCGCTGCGGCAATGTCTGTCTGATGCACGAATCCTGACGAGGAAGAGTAAAAGCAATGGTTGGATGCATGAGATCAGAACAACTACAAATATTATTATGCCCGTTTGATGTGAAATGCTTGGTTGAATCAGGTCGCTTAATGTTAAATTCAGAAACACCACTGAAGTCAACTCACCACTGGTATGTTGTGGCAATTGTGTGCTAATTTTTCAGTCATTTCGTGTTAACGACTAGTATAGGTTTATTGGCAAATCTCTGACAAGTGAGTCTCATTGAAATGAAATCTGCGCCGCTTCAGTAAATAATATGTTCTGGTTGATAAAGTATTAGAAAATGTAAGCTTATCTTTATTAAATGGGCAAAGTATTTGGGCTTCATATATTAGCATTTCTATGAAAAATATAGCATGCCTTTTAATCTGCGAAAGCTTTGTGTCCCATACGAAGTGCGTTGACGTTCTGGAGAAACCGGGTTACGCCACGTCTGGAACATAATTCGACGAATGCTGCCGTTCGTTTACTTGCCACTATAATTATTATGTATCAAGAGTTAACATGTGCGATGAAACCACGAATTCGTGCAACGACTGGAACGTACCGGGGCCAACTCTACTGCATAATCACCCCAGCTATATGAAGTTAATCTCCTACAACCAGTTCTAAAACCTAGCACAAATATGCCCGTGTTATTACAGCATAATTACCTCGCTGTTTCCATCAAGAACACTACCCGCACCATGACTATCGATGCACGAAGTAAAAATGCCCTACCCCTAATTTTGAATGCATTCCTAAATCAACCACAGAAACAAGCACTTTCAAATTGCTTCTTGACAGTGATCTATCTCCATATATTAAACATTCACAGATATCTTCAATCGATAGCCCATCATTTCCTGATCCACCACTCATCGCCAAATCCTAACATAACCTACACATTGAAAATAATTTCTACTAAATTTTGGGATATTTATAAATCAAAAACAGCCGACAGAGTGGGTGCGCAATTTATGCTCAGAACAGCTACATGAGGAATATGCAAATATGTTTCGTGGAATTATGTATTCCTGTGGACGACATAACAATGCTATGCAACTTCCATTTCCCATGTTCGAGTGATATCCTAGAAAGCGGTAGCATAGTCCTGCTGGCCAGGGAATCGTAGTTCATCTATTGGCATATATCATTCACAGCTTTGTTGTGACATGTAAATGCGAACTTAGGCAAATGCACTTTTCGTTTTTGGTTATACCATCCCGCAAATTAAGACCATCCGTGATCTAGGAATCCGTAGTCTGACAGTAAAGATTTGTGAGCTAGTTGAATTCATCCAAGCCAGATCACGAGGAAGTGTCAATTTTATGTTAGCATTATTCTCTAAACGGTAACTTAAGCTGCATTTGTCCTGTGCTAGATAACTGCTGGATTATTTTTACAAACTGCATGAAACGTAACCGCATGTGCCCAGAAGTCGTGCAGCGCTCATTTACAATTGCTATATTTAACTCATGGTCCAAACTTAAATGCTCCGGGCGTTGTAAGCCGCTGAAAAGGAGCCACAGTGTATAAGACACAAGAAAATAGGACTACTGTTCCAGTTTGACTTGATCCACAGGCGTATATTCGCATCAACTATCTCTATTAATTGCAACAATAGTGCATACGCAACCAGGAATACAAAGCACGGGTATCCGATGTCTGAATTCATAAGGAATGCTCGAGGAATGTTCTATTTAAACAGATACAGTATAAGCTGGACGAGCCTAACTATTGAAACAAAAGCATGCTAATCAGAACCAATGTTTAAAATAGCACTTTCAGACTGCATGACAGGGCATCAATAATAAGCATTGTTGCAACGAAATCTTAACACTAAAATGCAACGGGAAGAGGGGATCGAGACTTAAATGTGTTGCATGTAATCACATAAATGTGTGCTATAAAGTGTGTTTGCATGGCCAAGCCATCTCGTAGACCTGCATTGAAATTTACAACACCTTGAGAGAACCAGGGGCAATTATCTTTGTGCAACACTCTTTCACTCCAACACGTAAACTTACAAATCAGATACACCAACATGCGCGGACTGCAGAGGAATTGAAAATTGAGATTGAACTAATTAATTTTTTCTCCAAGCATCATGTTCGGATTACACCACTACACTTCCATTACAGCCATATAAATAGTAGGAGCTGAGAAGAAAAGACTGCTTGTAACTATCCATCTACATTCACATTTACCAAGCGCTCTTTACTTACCTGACTAGACTTCTTTGTTGTCCTCTATTTAATCAGCAGGCAGCAAGCTGGAGCTATAGTTCATTTCTAATAACGTCTTCAAATAGTTACCAATACTTGCCTTTTTTGATGACACTTACTGACCACATTTTTTGCGTATGTATAACCAGAACCCTGGGCCGGGTTAAAAATTCCAAACAAGTTTGCCTCAAACTAAAATAATAATTTTATTCTAAATGCCTCCGATTATTCGAGAAGCAGCCGAAATTCAAAAGATTAAATACATCTGTAATTCTGTTAGAATTCTTCCGCTAGGCATTCAAATCTCTTCAGTATTTAAATAGAATGGCCCGTCGTAACAAACCCTTAGATCTGCAATACAAAATAAATGCCTCGTAGGCGGCTGGATGCTCAAACGACTAGCAGATGGCCGACGTAAAGGAGGCAGTTAAAGAAGTACGAAAAGAGGAAGGAAATGTGCTGGGACGCAATAATAGGGTAACTATAAGGGCAATCCAACCGATCGGCCTCTCACCAATTACTTGTTAACGTTGCGCCCGCGCATCGGTTATATTATCCCCCCTATCAGCAGGCCATGTCCCAGCTCTCATAATGGCCCATGCCGGAATCAACTTACGTACCTGCAAGAGGTATTGAGCACGGTACATTAGGCTTGGGAGATTCAACGGCAAGCAGCACGATAGCAGAATGTTAACTATTGCCTCAAGAGATACAGTCTAGCTTCGTGGACTGCCTTGGTGAACTGGCAGGGTTTCCAAACATGTGACATTTCTCCGGTTCGGCGTTCAAAGCTCTTCCTTGTTTAAATAGTACGACAAGCAGTAACGAATCCTTATAGCAGCAACACTAACTAAATACCTTGTAAGCGGCTGGATGATCAAACGCCTAGTAAGAGACTGAGGCAAAGAAGGAAGCTAAGGAGGCAGGGAAAGGGGAAAATGCTGGAGAAGAATAAGAGAGTAACGATATCAGCAATCAAAACCGATCGACCTCTTACCTGATAACGTGTTACCGTGACGCGCGCGGATCGGCTACAATGCAGTACTCATTTTAGAAAGTTTATCTTAATTACCTGCCGTGTAAATTAAGAATCATTTCGTAGTTAATTAATATCTTGTTACAACATTAACCCTCTCCCTATGATAAAGATAATGAAATCGTGATTCCCGAACAACAATTACTTAGCCCATAGAAAACCATAATTCTAGCAGTAACAGATAAATATTTTGTAATGGAAGAACATTTATGTCAAAAACACAACCCAAAAATGTGCGTGAAATTGGTTATTGGAAAAATGTGTGAAGTACGAAAAGATAAAGCGTCCTTGAGCCGACAACGCATGTCTCGAAAATCGGAGCAAATGCAAACTAAATACATAGAATGCGAGAACGACTTTTACCATAATGTGTCATACATATTTCCAAACAACGCTACAGATAGATGAGGAGGTAATGACATGATAACGCGCAACAATTTGAAGTAGTACCTGTGGTGACTTCTGATAATCCGTCAATAAATTCATGTGCAGCAGTTGTGCTTTGCAGTGAGGTGCTTGCGTTTGGGGTTTCTGTGTTCACATTCGCTGCGGTAATATCTGACTGATGCACGAATGCTGCTGAGAAAGAGTACAAGCAATTAATGGATGCATGAGATCAGGAATATTTGCTAACCTGATTGATGCGAAATTCTTCTAATTAGGTGGTCGTTTAATTTTGAAATCGGAAAAACCACAATTTGCTTTTGACCGCAGGTATGCGACAAAATTGTGTGCCACTTTTGCAGTCATTTCTTGTTGACTAACTTTATATATTCAATAGTAAATCTCTGACATTTGGCTTATGTAGAAATGTAAGCTATGTCCAAGTAACAAACACACTTGTGAGATTGTTACAACTGCTGTAAAAAGTAAGTTTCCTGTCTTAGATATAGAATCCTTTGGTGTTCAAGCTTAATGGTCATTGCGAAAATGTCTGTCTAATGCATGAATTCTGCTGAGGAGGAGTAAAACGAATGGATGAAATCATGAGGTCAGGAATATTCTTATCGTTAATGTGAAATACTTTTGTTATTAAGTTCGATTTCTGTGAAAAAGGAAGCACCACGGACCGCTTTTCTCCCCAGATTTATCTCGATATTGTGCGCTGATATATAAGTAATTTCCTGTTAATGAGTTTTAGGTGTTCGGGAGCAAACCTCTTAGATATGACTACATTGGAAATGCAAGCTATGGCACTGCAGCAATTACTTTTTCACGATTGATAAATAACCTGTAAATTTGAAGTTTGCTGAATTAGGCATTTTTAGCATTTGGGCTGCTTCATCAAGCATATTAATGAAAACGTATCCACACCTGTAATTTGGAAAGCTTTATTTCGCTCAACGACCACGCTGACTTTTGTGGAGGAACCGGATTGCGTCAATTCTGAGACACATAACGGAAGAAGCATGTGGTATGATAATTGCTGCCTTTTCTTTGTTTGCCTTCTTAAAACTATGTGGCTAGGATAATCTCGCACCATTTAAGCAGCAATTTTTGCAACGGCTGGAACGTGCCGCTGCCAAAATTAATGCCAATTCCTCCCTGTCCACGTAAGTAGCACTTATTCAACAATCCTAATATCTTGCACAAATAGGCTTCTCCCGGTACTGTCACATTTCACGTGATAGAATCGGCGTGCAAATAATTCAGACTAATTTTCTGTGCAACCTTGGCTCTATAGGGAGAGTACTGGTTAAAACGAACAATATTGGGATCAATATTTCATGTCGAGATGCG